GAATCACTATCTTTCACTAACAAAAGTCCTCACCCGTTCAAAAGTCTCATCCAAAATAATCGCACCGGTCACCGGAACTTTAACTTTGTAAGAAGTAAAATCCTTAAAAATATCATCAATATGAGCAACATACGGTCTTAAAACATCACAACTGTTAAACACTGCATCTTATTAAGGAAAGAAAAAAAAAACCTAAAAAATCAGAAGAAAATAGACAAGAATTAAAGAAACTATAAAATAAAAAAAAGATACTTAAAGAAGTGAATTCCTTCAAAGTGAAGGACTTTAATGAGGGATTTTTCTCGACAGAATTATCTTCATAGAACCAATGCGCGTACTCGACCAGAAATAGAATTCTCTCGAACGATTGCTGGTCTTCTTTTGGCACATTTAGAACAAACCTACTGCAGAGATCGTCGAGGAGTTCTTGTGGAGGAAGACCGCCGTTCTTAAACGGGACGCTACTGGATCGATTCAGGCCGGACATCGATTCCACGACCCCTAACCCTAAATTTTTATTTTTTTCAGTCGAGTAGAGAAGGAGCTCGTTCTTTCAGTCTCTCCTTTCTTGGAGAATTCGGGATAGAGCGAGGAGCTTCCGCATCGAATAATTTTATGTCTCTGAAGGAGGAGGGGAGAAGATGTTGGTTCTGGTTATAATTTATAATATTGGGATTTCATAGTAGGCCCGAGGTATCATTTCTGGACCTGAATGAGCTGGATAAGAATGAATGCTGATCGGCCCATCATTCATGCAGGACAAGCTAGTCTGTTCAAATGTAATAAACCATGTCCAAGAAAGAATGTTGAACAGCTCTTTGTTTTTATCCACAAAAACAATTTTTTATATGATAATATTAAAAATAATTTTTATAAAAATATATATATTTAAAAATTTTCTAATAAAATTTTATAAAAATATATATATATAAATCTAACAGACATATTTTTTTCGTACAAAAGTTAGCGCGAAAGAGTTATTTATGTGGAAAGATATATACTCAAGTGGTATGGTCACATGATGCTAAATATTTACGTGATAGTTACATGACTAAGGCCTCGTTTGTATTTTACTTATTTTTAAAATTATTTTTTATATGAAAATATATTAAGTTAATATTTTTTTAAAAAAATAAATTATAATAAAAATAAAAATATATTTTATTGGATTTTTAATTAAAAATATTTTTACAAAAACACAAACTTGGTATATAACTAAATGCTTGTCCATCAATTCAAGAATCATCCTTGTAGTAAATAATTATCAGGGGGACATTGAAACTTCAAATATTTGAAACCTTTAAAAAAAAAAAAATGATGATGGGCATTGTTTGCATTAAAAAAAAACCAATTAATTTCAACATGTTTTTTTTTTTTAATTTTATCTATTGCTGTTATAATGAATTGGTTGTCATTTTAAACAATAAACCACCACTTAGGGTCAACATGTTATTTTTTTTTCAGTTTATTTTTTTATTATATATATATATATATATATATTTATCATTTAATATATTTTATTAGTTTTAAATTGATTGTAATAATTTATCTTGATTTATTTTCTACGAGATCATTATAATTTTAAATAGATATATCGATAGTTGATGTTTAATTTTTATAAATATATATTTTTGTTATTATATTAATAAATAAATAAAAATTTAAAAAATTTTAAAACTAGTAAATAGTGGCAAATCTTGCCGGTGAAGAGTCTATTTATTTTTATATTTTAAAAATTATATTAATAAATAAAAAATATTTAAAAAAATTTTAAAACTAGTAAATAGCGGCAAATCTTGCCGGTGAAAAGTCTATTTATTTTTATATTTTAAAAATATTTTTAATTTTTTTAGTTTTGAGTTAATATTTTTATATATCTTTTCATATTAATGTATCGATATCAAAAATAATTTTTAATAAATTAAAAATATTATTTTAATATATTTTTTTAATAAAAAATACCTTACAAGATAATAACTATCATGCTTCAAAACAACCTCTAAGCTACAAACCTCGGGTTGATTTAATCCTCTCGTGCTGAATTTAATAACAAAACAAAAAATTTCTCCATGGTCTAATTATTTTTTTTAGATTCAACAAAATTTTAATCCGACTTATATCGTGTGCAAGGAAATTAGTAAAATCTACATTCCATTATAATGATTACATGGAGCGAAGAAGCCACGAAGTGTAGTGGGGGGGCAAAAACACCTGTGGATTATATATTACATTTTGTTAGTTACTACGCTGGAGACGTTCCTTACATTACGATGTTTAACTGAACTAAAACGAAAACCAGAAAGAATCTCCATTTCCACAGAGGAGAGACCAGATAGAATCTCTCCTGTTTGTTTCCACAAGAAATGCGGTCCATACAGCTGGGACTCTCAGTATTTCCCACATCCATAAACAACAACCTTCTTAATTTCAATTTCAAGAAACAATCTTTTTTTAATCCTCCTACAAGGGTTTCTCATCATCAATACTCTCTCCCCACAACAGGTACGTACCTAACTACTTCAAAATTCACCAAACCCTTTAGAGCTTTTCATTCATATCTTGTTGGATTCGAAGTTTCTGTAGATTATCTTTTGTGGGTTTTCTTTCCTTATATGTACCATTCTATTGTATGCATGCTTTCTTGTGCTGTTGTTTCACTGTTGATTTGTAGTCAAAGATATAGTTGACTAACTGAATCGTTGTCGTTTTTTAACGAATCTTGATTCTTAAATTTGGACTTGACTTCGATTTCGAACCATCCGTGTTCACACCCTCATTCTTCAGAAAGTGAATGGGGCAGGCATAATCTCAGAATTGATAAAAACTGGAGTTAGATATGTTGCAATGCATCGGCTCCAGGAACATTATAACAACAGTCAATGTTAGCTAATTTAGCTAGTAAAGTCACCTGTGTAAACAAAGGCTTGATGGGATTCCTTATGAATGCAAAAGAACAGCTTTATGAAAACAAGAATCCTTCCTAGCAAGACTGTAAAAAAAATATATGGTAGAATGTGGTTATTTATTATCAATCCCTTTTCACTTGCTTGCGTAGAAGAATCTATTCCTGTTTATTCTGCTTTCTGCTATGTTTCTTGAATCTTGATATCTAAACAAAGGTACACGGAGGGAGAGAAGTTTTTAGCTTATCTATCTGTACTTTACTCAGATGCATAGTTAGGATATTAAAATTTATTTGGATTATTCTGTTCTTTGAGTGTAGGACTATGCAGCAGAGCGAGTCAAGTGGTTGAATTGTTCCCTACTGTATCTCCAGGGATAGTTGTAAGGGAAGCAAGATTAGAAGATTGCTGGGAAGTGGCTGAGACTCACTGCAGTTCCTTCTTTCCTGATTATTCCTTCCCTCTACATCTTGTGCTAAGGGTTGACAGGCTGGTAGCAATGCTATCAGGATTCATCATACCAAATGGCTGCAGAAGAACTTGTCTGGTTGCTGTCATTGGTAGCCCAGGTGATCAGACTTTCTATATTGGAAGGGAAGATTTCAAAATTGGAGGTTCTGATGGGAATTCCAGTCCTAATCGAGGCTACATTGCTGGGATATTGACCGTGGACACTGTTGCTGATTTTCTCCCAAGGAAAGGCCCACTCAGGCAGAGAAGGTAAGTTCGGCTTTGCTCTTATGACAATTAGGTCTTTGTGATCATGTAAACTTTGTGTTGCGATCTAGCATGCAATTGGTTTTGAGTAGATTTGAATGGAACTCTTTTAGTGGGCCAATAAACCAGCACGGTGTGTTTATTGTCGTAGCTATCAAAGAGAATTAACTACTGAAAAGTAGTTGTTCATCAATCTATATTTTGGATGGATCGTGGCTGGAAGAAATACTTTTTGGGCAATCTGTGTTGACCAATCCATATTGATGTTGAAACAACATATAATAAGGAAGGTCAATCCTAACACAAATGCTCTGATAAACAAAGAAGTGATCGTTTATGTTTTGAATGTTCTTTTATTCCATACGTGCACTTAATTCTTTTACAAGCTTCTCTTGCCTACACCAGTTCAGTTGCGTTTAGTTTCTGAAATTTTATTCCTACAATTGTGATATATGTTTCTGCCAAAGGACTGGAATTGCATATATATCGAATGTTGCTGTTCGGGAGAGATTTCGCCAGAAGGGGATAGGTAAAAGGCTCGTAGCAAAGGCAGAGGCTCAAGCTAGGAACTGGGGCTGCCGTTCCATTGCTTTGCACTGTGATTCGAATAATCCTGGAGCTACCAAACTGTATAAGGGACACGGTTTCAGAAGTATCAAGGTACCAGAAGGTGCAAACTGGCCGCACCCCAAGACCTCTCCAGATATCAAATTCAACTTCATGATGAAGCTTCTAAACACCCCAATCACAACATAGAATTTTTAGGTGCACACGAAGAATTGACAAGGTAAAACCTTGTAGGAAAATTTGAAAATTGCATCATATAATCTGTGTATGTATAGATCATCAGGGTAATGTCTGGATACAATGGTTACTATTTCGAGATAAAAGATACAAATTATTATTTCAGGATAGAAGACAATAAGACAATGAGGACAAAGAAAACATTACTGTGCAAAAATTTATTTCAAAACTGTCCTTTATTTAACCTCTCTTTAATCAAATATATTTTTGTTTTTTATGTCCTTTTTTACACCAACCAAAAACAGAGTGATGGCTTTAATGTACCCTGTGCCTGTTTGCGTGATAGAAGACATTTTTGTAAAGCTCAAGGGACTTGGATAAGATGATTTACTTGCTACTTCTGCCCCTTGATGTTTCAAATCTATGTTATTTCTTGCTGCTTCTGCTTCTTCAATTCAATCACGCGATCGCTAAAATCTGTTTGACACCAACTTAATTTAAGGGCTCTCAAAACTTTACAGAAACAAACATGGTATATGATCCCATCCAGTAGACGAAAGGAAAAATTGAGACAGAGAGACCATTGTTACTCTTGATGCACGAGGTAGTGCGTAGCCGGCCAACAGAACATAATTAAGGAAAAGCATATGAACTTGGATAGTAAAACTGCAATTTATTGTTATTGACAAAGACTCAAGCACATAATGCTATTTATTGTTATTGTTCGTTTATTCTGTAATTAGTATCTCTACAAATTTAAACTTGGCATTCTATATTCATCAGCAAAATCAGATTTAACGAGAAAAACTCTCTAGAGCACCCTGGCTTTACGGCCAATACGCCACACTTGAGGGATGCCGAATTCAACAAACAGGATTGCGCATGGAAACTGAAAGGGCCGCAACTCAAAACTCAACTTATGAAGTTTGGAGAAATTTATCCAAGGCAGAAGTATCCAAAGCAGGGAACTTCTTGACAGCAGAAGCCACAGCAAGTCCAAGCTTCACCGCATCTTCATGGCTAGATGCCTGAAGACATCATTACTTTTAGTCGCTATATATTGAGATAATATTGGCAGTTCATGCAGAAACTGAAAGCAAATTTTATACCTCAATGTTAAGGGGAAGAACAGGATCATGAAGTGAGAGTCTAAGAAGGAACCACCCACCAAAACCAGAAACTCGAACCTGTTTAAGTTAAGGAAAAAGGGAACAAGTATGGGAGAAAATTTATTGTGTGATGTCTCGAGAGCATGGCACTAGCCGTCAAACCACTAAAGTTACAAGTACTAATGCAGCCTACATAATATTTATCTGTGTCAAACTCACCCCTTCATAATTAACAGGAGCTTTCTGAAGCTTTGGATCTGACTCTACATGGTTCTCCAAAAGTTTCAGCACTGCCTCTCCATATTCTCGGAAAGATCTGGATGTTCTAAGTGATCAGTTATACTACAGCAAAATAATATAAAAATGTGACAGACCAGACACAGAACCATACCCTCCTTTAAGATCTGGATGATTCTGATCGATTTTCAGTCTCAATTCCACAGCAACTCTTGGTTCCTGCAGACCCTCTACCAGGTCAGTCAAAACTTTGCTGCCTCCAGCAATACCAGAAGCTCTGGCTGAAGCCAATTTATTTAGAACTTTAACCTGCATGTATAAACAGAAAATGGTAAACAAGAAAGTTGATAAATTGATAATGCAATAAACTAAAAATGCTTGACCCTTGCTCTGTTTCATATAATGCCTACCATGAGGTATGCTCCATCATCAAGCCAGTGGTTTTCCTTGAGAGCTCCATGGCCACTGGTTTCAATAGCCAGATGTGATTCCTCACCAACAGAGTTCTGTGAGCAATGTCATTGCATTTGTTTGAAAATTCATAAAGCAAGAGCTACAGAAAAGTAGATCATCCAAATTGCGATATAATAGCACTGAAGCCCTCTAATACCAAAGAGGGAACAAGAAATGCTTGGCGTTGAAAGATGTTAAATAAAAAAAATCAACAAAGGAAAAGTCATTAAAATTCTAAATTATAGACAACAAGATCCTACACAACATATGATGAGGAGCTCAAAATGATTTGCATCCAACCTTCATAGTGATTTGCATTTCACACTAAAAGCAAATAGAAAATACCCCTAAACAAATTCAGTCACATTGTATATAGGTTTATCATTCAATGACAATTTCCTCAAGGCAACTTTCATATTGATTTGCATCCAACCTTCAGAAATACCACAATCAAATCCCATTTGGTTAAAAATTTCATCCTGCCAGCATTATTACTAGTTCAAAAATCTGCCCCAATACAGGGCACAAGGATCAAGCTTGCATATGCAAATTTCCCTATTTGGTTTCTTGCTTCTGTAAGTGTCCCAAAACTCAGCAAGTAAAAGACAAATCAGAATCTCTACTTACCAAACGAACAGCCTCATCGATGACATTTTTATAACCTCTTTTGAATCGATGGTGCTTTCCCCCTAAAAAAGACTGGCAGGCTATAAGCACATTCATATACAGGGAATAAACAATATGCCATTTTGGTTTTCTGCATACCAAGTTTGTTTTCAATAAATGTAGTAAGGCCATCGGAAGTCACACTGTCTGTAACAATAGTTGTTCCTGGATGCTAAATGGAAAACAGAGCGGGCCAAATTGGTAATGAATTTAAGGGGAAAAGAGCAATGGAACAGAAGTCATGTGCTTTAACGGTGGCACTTGAGACAACTGAAGTAGGAAGATCTTACTTCCTCTAATACAATGGCAGACATCAAGGCAATCAGCCGATTCCGGTTGAACTCACGAGCAGTGGAATCCACAGCAGCAGATCTACAAGAAATTATTATACATTAAAAAGAACTGATACATGAATGTGCTATATGATTGCACAGATTGGGATGATGAACACCTGTCAACATCAGTATCAAATATGATCCCCAAATCAGCCTTGTTCTCAAGGACTGCCTGGGCAATAGCTTTCATCGCTGCCTTGTCCTCTGGATTAGGGATATGATTTGGAAACATACCTATTTTGAAAAACTACTTTAGCATGTAAATAAAACACATAGCAAAAGTCATAGAAAATTTCTAATATCAACATTACCATCTGGTTCCAAGAACTGGCTGCCAGAAGTGATAGCTCCCAGAGGCTGAAGAACTTTTTCCTGAAAAAACATTTGAAACATTAACATATTAGAAGACAAGGTGATGAAATGATTGAGTGATAGAAATGGAAGGAAGTTCTTTAGCAAAATAACTGCAGATATGTTGTTGACTGTGTCTCCCCAGTCTGGACAACGAAAATCTAAGAAACTTGGTTAAGTGCTGGTGGAGGAAGTGGTGTTCAGAAAGTTTATTACTTGGAAGCATTAAAGGTACATCAAGCATAGATTTTGCTACAGCCAAGTACAATAAAGTTTTGTATAAACAAAAGAAAGCCAAATAAATCACAATATGACTTACAGCAAAAAATCCTCCTGCTCCATTTCCCGCATCAACAACAATATGGAATCCCTCCAGTGGCTTCTCTAAAAGTTCAACAATTTCCAATCAACAACTAGCAAATGGGATCACACCACCTTAACATGCAAAAACTCAATAAAACAAGTACTAGTAACATTGAAGTAAATATCCAATGTAAAACATCTCCATAAAAATGCAAAATATTTTTTACAAACAAAAGACTCCCAAGGACCAACCCAGTGATTAAACTTAGGATTTTTAGAATTAGGTTCAAATCCTAAAATGAGTAGGTAGGGTTAGAGGAAGACAGACTACTACCTATTATGCAGACCAAGGTCCAGGGGGTCTCCTAATGGAGCAAAATGAAAATATTTAATGGACTATGATGGTAGCATACCCCAATTCACACATTTGCGTATCAAACCATGGGTAACAGAAATTAATCCCTGAATACAATTTATTATGACAACTATTTTGGAGCATTTACCTATATTTCCTGCAGCTTTGCGGACTGCCTTTACAAGATCAGATGTATACACAGTCATGTAATCAACTCTTTTTAAGGATTCAGAAGCTTTCCCTTTTGATTTCATTAAACCTTCATCTGTAAAACTATTATATATGTCCACAGCGTGCTCTAAAATGTTTTTAATGTCAGCCTTCCCAAGCCCTCCAGCATTTGTGAAGAATTTGAACCCGTTCCTGTTGAAAGGAAGATGACTAGCTATTTGCACAACAACATGAACCAAAAATTTGATTAGATGTAAGCTAGTCAGAAAGTCTACTAAGATGATCTAATGATCTAAAGTAAAGCAGTGTTTACACAAAAGTTCAAGCAATGAAAGTGGCAACCATTATGAGGCACCATTTCCAAATCCCACGATTATAGTAGGCGAACATGGTCTAACAGAAAATCAACCAGTTACCTGTTATCATTATAGCCCCATCAACTGGACATAAAAATGCCTCATCCTCGGTTAGTGTGCTATTAAACATTGCAGGGGTGGATGCCAATCTGCAAAAGGTAAGATGCTACAAAAGTTAAGAACAAATCATGAACGAACAAAGGTTAAACCATTTCTCAGCCACTGATCCATTGATCTCATGAGGTCACTGCATCATACATTCAATCAGTGGAAAGTACACATCATACAAAAAAAAACCATTTTTAACTTGTGTAGAAACCCACAATTTATGCTGAGATCCTTCATGATCTTCCAAGAGGAGAAAGTGTCATATAAGTTGTCTTCCCTGAAAAGGTCATCACAAGATCCAGCCAAAGAGAGAACACTTCAACCATGAAATTTTAATGGCCACTAGCTGGAGATTTTTGGCCCAATAACATTGAGTTTAAAATATCTAAAGAAGGGTATGGACAGTGAGATGTATACAATTGTTAGAAAATCAAACCAAGATGAGAAATCATAAACCCACCCATATTGAACAACATCCAGGCCTGCACTGGCAACACCTCGAGTAACCGCATCCTGGAAGTTAAAGATTAAACCTCAGTTATTTATGATATTAGTAGATGAGGAAATTCCATACATAAAAGCTCTAACACTGCACAGTAGATGTATTGATAGTAGCACTTTTTCCAAATGATTATATTCCTTTGAGTTTGAATGACATTTTTGATAAAACTGGTAAAGTTAGTTGCTACAATTTTTCACAGGAAAAGAAGAGAGACAGAGTCAATAGTGAAAAGTGTAAACAACTAAACATCAATTTCCAAGCCAAAACAAAATAACTAGATAGATCAGATCAGAAGAAAACGCGGTCCTCTTTGTAGGACCATCAGTTACCTAGTAATTGTCCAATTGATGGTCCAGCGGCCAAACTAATACAAGTGTCAGTATGCTGATGACACGAGCATTATATGAGCTTGAAAAGACTCACAGAACAGTTGATCAACCAGAAATGTTGGGGGGGGGGCTGCTGGAGGGACTTAAAGGTTGTTTGCAGATGGTTTCAGATAGCCAAAAGATTTATGCACAGCAGGAAAAAGAACTACCTGCAACACCTGTGCAGATATGCGGGAATCGTGACCTACAGACACCTTCAGAGGTTTGGATGCATCAACTTTTTTCTTTTCCGATAACCAGGCAGAAAAGGCTGCTGCTATTGCTTCCGTAACTGGTTCAGTGAGGGTAACAGGTTCTCCCTCGACCCCAGGAACAGCCACACCTCGAATATCACTATGTTCCCATTGGGGAATAAAAGAAACACGACCTCGGAGTTACACCACTTACAATCAACGCTAAAATAGTTCCAACTTCCAAGCATAAATCACAGGTAATTCTGGGTGATTATTTTTTCAATCATGCGTTGACTTTCAGTTGATAGGATTGTTGGGACATCCATGAAAGAAAGGGTAACACTATTGAAACCCAAACAGAAAATAAATAATTCCTGCTGCCAAATAATTCTGGATTATAACTATAACCACAGATAATCCTCACCTGCCATTTTGAAGCTTCATAAAATCAACCTTATCGAGATATGGCACCGCGGTCGTAGATGAAGCAGCTGCAGAAAAGTTAAATTTTGTTGCGAAATTAGAGTTGTTATGGCAACCGAATCTGTGTTCATCGCAAACAGAAAACCCAAAGCGTACTGATACATAGAGAACGAGTGTTTTAAAATGCAATTATCAATCAACCTGGAAAAAATGAGAGTCTAGAACAGACCATTGCAGTAGTAAATAGGTGGTCGTTTAACAAAAGCAGTCTGGTATTTTGGTAAATGCATGGAAGATATGCCACTCCTCCATGCCAATAAATTCTTCCCTCCATGAAAGGGAAGCAAGTTGCGGTGGTGGTTATAAGGGGCCGCCGCCGCGGAACAACAGTCCCTACCACTTTGGTAGGAGTAGTATTCATTGGTCCCCGACAGCCTATTCTTTGCTACAATTACATTTACAACAATTGCTGCACCCACCACAACCCAGCAAATTTCAAAACAAAAAAATTAAATTAAATTGCTATAATAATTAGTAAAAAAAAAATGTATTCAGCTTGGTCACTGTGCTGATAACCTCAAGATTAGGCTATATAAAATTCTATTCTGTTTCTGTAATTACTTGAATTCGATCAAAGAAGTGGAATTCAATTCAACGTACCTGCCATTTTATTTGACGGTTACTGACGGCGACGCCGATATGGTGGTTAAGAAAGAGAGGGTAGAGTTTTGAAAATTATGAAAATAAGAGGTGCTATATGGGATTTTATCCCGCGGATGCTCGCAGCCTAGCTTTCACGCGTGTTGGCTGTGGAGGAGTTTTGTTACCACTTGCCAGTGAAGAGATGTCACGTGCTTGTCCTCTAGTATATTCGAGTTTTATCCCCACTGTTGTCGGGTGTATTTTCTGGTGGGTAGGTTTGCGAAAACACCACTCTAGTTTAGTAAATTTTCAATTGGGCCCTTTAAGAAGAATCGATCATCCTTCGTAAACGCACAAAACGGGTGTTAAAGTATAAATATTTCAGCGACAGTGGAAGTGATTATTTTTAAAAATATTTTTTATTTTAAAATATGTTAAAATAATATTTTTTTATTTAAAAAATATTTTTAAAATTATTATATCAAAATAATTCAAGAATATAAACAAATAATTTAAAATAAAAACAAATTTAAAATTTTAAAAATACAATGTAAAACACATTTCCAAATAATTATTTGGTCATTGACAAGAGTTTGTCAGGTGAAAAAAATATTGTTTCAAAAAAATATATATTATTTTACATGCTCAAAAAGAAAATGATGTTTTTTTAAAAAAAAAATTAGCTGATTTTTCTAATGTAATAAAATTATAATTTTTAGAGTCTTTTAGACACCAAGTTTTTCTTGTATTTTTTTCTTTATACTTTGCATTCTTATTATTTAACAATTAGCCTATTTGTCACCATATTTTTTTATTTTTATTTTGTTTTTTAAAATATTTTTTTGGTTTTTCCTTCTTCTTTTTTCCTTGTGTCTTTTTTTAAAAAAAAATTATTTTTAATTTTTTATACTTTGAATGTTTATCACATATTGGCTTATTTATATCATTCATTTTGTTATTATTTTTATTGTTTTATAATTTTTTTATAATTTTTTATATATTTTTTTTTTTAAAATACTATACAAAAACTTGGAAAATGTTATTTTTAAAAAAAATACTATACAAAAACTTGGAAAATGTTGTTTCACTCGAGTAATTAAACTAGCTTGAAAAATTACATGTTTCTATAAACATATATAATATTTATTGTATTTTATTGTATATAAACATCAACTTTTTAATTAATGGTTATTTTTTTATTTGATATAAAAAATATTGATAATAAATACACATTAATTTTTTCATGTTACAGGTAAAAATTTTAATTTGCTGCGAGGCTGATTAAATAGACGTGTTGATATTTTATTTTTATATTTATTATTATATATAATTTTTAATGTATTTAATTAAATACATAGATATAATTTTTTATTTATAACTATAATTCAAAAAAATTAAGCTTGCATATTTATTTATTTGTTGCCAACAAAAATTATCCAAAAAATGGACCAAATAATTAGTATATATACCCCAAACATCCTTAGAGTGATTAAAACATATTACGAATATTTTGGGTATAAAAAGAGGTACTGTAAAATTTGTTTAGATTTAAAGATAGTTTTTATCATGTTCTAAACTTTTAAATTATCGTTATAATCTTATGACACGTCGAGAGATTTATGCAATTTATCTTGTTATATATAATATCAATACACTGCTTCCACGTTCATAAAAAAATAAAATTCCTTGTGATGATATACATGATTCCTTGTCATGTATTTAAAGAATATATAGCAAGGATTCACGATTTTTTCTAGATCACCTTATAATCTTTTAATTTTATCTAGTTAACTTTTATAGACGAACCTTGTTATATATTTACACTCAGCATGGCCAAGTCTAGATCATGAATTCTTCAAGTTAATTCATGGATCGAATTATTTAATCTAAAAGAAATCATAAATATATCTTTTTAGTTAAAAAATATACATGGTTTAAAATAAAACTCTAAATGGACTCCTCCAGCCAATAAAAGTTTTATAACCATGCTGTGAAAAACTCAAATCCATGAGGGAGAAACACTGTAATCGGAGACACGTATCACCGTGGACTTGCTGTGGTCATTTTTTCTTTTATTTTTTATTTTTGACCTATGAACTCTTTTTTACTAGCTGCATCCTTCTGGGGTAAGACTGAACCCCGTTGCTTCAAATTTATCGAGCATGGGAAAAAAATGAAGGAAAGGGGGTTAAAGTGAAAAGAAGATGAGTCAATTGTTGGCGATTTTAAAAACGGCGCAGCAGGTTCATTTTGGTTTTCATTCCTTTTCAATTATAAATTTCCGGTCCTTTAATTTTTTGAAAAATCAATTTAGTTCAAAACTTCATTTTATTTATTTTTTAATCATTGGCTTGAGAAACAAGAAAGAGAGTGGTTGAATTCTAGTACTAGAAGAAAAGGAATATTGTTTGACATTGATTTTTAAAAGGAAAAATGATGATTTTGATATTAATGAGTTTTGTTTGACTATGAGAGTTTATAACATTTATTATTTGACCTTAACTTTGCAAGAGATGGTATATTTGAGTTTGGATTTTTATTCTGTTTTTGAATTGATTTTGAATTTTTGAGTTGTTTGAGGTTATGTAGAGGTTTTTGTTAAGGTGTTTGGAGTTTTTTCATTAATGTTACGAATAAAAAAATAAATTATGAAATGGACTTCTCAAAAAAAAAATTTATAAATTTTAATTTTTTAACCACCGCAATAAATGGATGAGATTCTAGAGAAAGCAGATGATATGTTATTAATCAAAGCAACGACGCTCTGCCAATTTTTTTTGAAAAACATTATAGGATAGAAAACATGGCATCCACCCTATTACCAAATGAAAAAATAGCCCACATGCACCAGTTTTTTTTAAATAGACAAGGCAAGTGGATCTAGCTTACTAGCTTAAACAACATATAATCTTTTTTTTTATTTTGAGCAGCATATGATTTTTTATTTTTTATTTAATTTTTTTTTATTAATTGATATTTTTTTAACCTTTGATGTTTTAAATAGATTTTAATTCAAACATAAATTAATACCTATTTTCTCTAGGTTTCTAGATTGTTTATTTAACTTCTTTCAAGCCCAGGCACACAGGCCACTTATTCAAGATGCACTTGCATGAATGCATGTTTTATAGTCCACCGATTTTCCCCCGGTCCTCTTTTTTCCTCCTTCAAACTTTATAATTCAATGTAGGGTTTTTGTTAAAAAAATGTTTTTTTCCAGCTTCTGTAGATTTCCATGATATTTTTAAATAAAAATATAATTAAATTTTTACTGAACCTTCAAATTTATTTTTTTTCCCTCTTGGTCTCAAGAGGCATTTTTTTTTTTCCCTCTTGGTCTCAAGAGGCATTATTTCTACGCGAGCTAGCTTTTTTCTTTTTTTTTCCTTTGAATCTTATTAATTCACCTTCGCATGCATGCTTTTTTTCGTTGTTTTATTAGATAAAAACATTGGTTTCAGTAAACAATGATGTTAGATATAGTTAATTTTATGAATTGTGTTTTGAAATCAGATATCCACGTCAACATCTATTTCTAGACTTTTCAATTTATTCCCAGTCACATATCATTTGTTTTATACATGAAATGATAGCATTTTTTTTTTATAACATTGCATAATATTTTTTTATCATTTAATTTTCCATACATGTAAATTTTTTTATCACCTAATTAAATAAAAAAATATTTTTTTATAATAAAATCATCAAATACAACTAAATAAATGTATCAAGCGGTAAAATAAAAAATATTAATTTATATTTATCTTTTGATTTTTCTAGTTTTGTATTTAGTTATTATTGTCACTATTTTTTTATTTATTGACATAAATAATTCATAATTTATTTAATCGGATGTAAAAGTAATTTTTTTATTTATATCTTGGACTTTTATACAAAAAAGGTGCTAGAAAACATGAATATTTATTTTTTTAGCTATAAAAAAATTACATGCATAAAACACCAATTAAATAGATAGTATACTAGGGACATGTGACTAACTGTTAGAGCATCTAAAAGAGAACAGCAGAAAGAAAAGGATAAGTTTTTCTGGCTTCCATCCCTCATTTTTATAGCTCCAGCGAGAGAGCTACATTGAAGATCCAAAATAACATTTCCAAGTTAAAGAGTTATTGCTATCAAAAGAGCTAAAAGTCTCCCTAATATTTAATTAAAAAAATAAGTTTTGATTGGAATTGTATTAGCTAGCTTCTATCAATAAATAACTATATCAACATCAAATATATTAAAATATAATTGATTTTATTAAATAATTTTTTTCCCACAGGATTGCATATATAAAAAATATTATATCTACACTGTTAAAAAAAAAACATCAACATGCCGTAATAACATATCACCTTTTGTTAATTCTTTCACATGACATCCATTTTTTTGCTACCGATCAGAATAACAAAATAAAAAGAAGTTAAGAGCCCAGTTCCAAGACTCGGCGTTGAAAAAACACAACTAAAGCCCACTAAAGAGATCCAATTTACAAGTACACAAAGCACTCCCCGGCCCGGCCCGACATGAGAATTAAAGGCCGTTAAAATTCATAATAAATGACATCGTTTCCAGTCAGCGCGGAAAACAGCCCAAGACGGCTAATGAAATTTCCTATAAATAAGAGGTCAAACACAGCAAATCCCATCTTCCATTCAGTTCCGCTTTCTTGTTGTGCAAATTAAAAAAAAAAACCTCAAGGGCTAGGGCTTGGTAATTGTTTTTTTGCAAGATGTTGGAGGTGGTGTTGAACGACCGTTTGGGAAAGAAAGTGAGAGTAAAGTGCAACGACGACGACACCATCGGCGACCTCAAGAAGCTCGTGGCGGCACAGACCGGCACCCGAGCTGAGAAGATCCGGATCCAGAAGTGGTACACCATTTACAAAGACCATATTACCCTCAGGGATTACGAGATTCATGATGGCATGGGCCTCGAGCTCTACTACAACTAAAACAAACATGTAATTTACTTTTCTCGTCTTTCCTTTCCTTTTTTTTTGGCTGTCTCTAGGGTTTCGATGTTGATTTTTTTTATGTGGATTTTTCTTATCATTGTTTGCCGTGGTTGAAATCTCTCTCTCTTTTTTAGAGGTTTAGGAGTACATGCTGTTAGGTTATTTGTTATTGGATTTTGT